GTGAGGGGATTGTCATGAAGGAGAAATCAGTGTTATGTGGCCATAGCTATGTGAGCTGAAGGGCTGGGAGCAACCAGAGATGAGTCCAATGTTTTGTTCTTTGTGAAATGTAGAAAATCCAATTGAAAAAACACATTTAGTAGAGAAGTAATTATTTTGGGGACTCTCAAATATATGTATGAAAAATACAGCTGGAGATCCCCAGTGAACATATATGAAGTGATGACTAATTAATACTTGTCTTGTTTGTGGTAATGTACATGTTGGTTTTCTTTTACTATAGTAAGAGCTCTTCCAGGTAGAGGACTCCACATAATTTATCTTTTTTCTTCTTAGAGAAGGCCTGCAACATAGTAGATGTTAAGTCAATGCTGGTGGATTCTATACATATCTTATTTGGTCATATGATGAGAAACTCACAGAAATACACTCTACTTCCTATAATCTATTATTGCCTACTGCCCACTTTCTAATTTCCAGCCAGAAAGAAGATGAAGAGAGAAAGAAGAAAGAAGAGGAAGATCACAAAAATGCTGCAGGACATGGTTCCGGTGGCGGTGGAGGAGGGCATGCTCAGGTGAGAGCTACCACTAATTTCAGTAACCACAGCGGGCTCAGCTCATTGACAACAGGGCTATGATGTGGCCTGTATCGCCTAAGGCACAGGTGAATGTATGCAGTGCTGTGTCTGAAAGCATCCTTGGATGAACAGAGGAGTGTCCCTTTAATTAAGGCTGTAGGGTAAGATATGGGCAATTTTTCACCTCTCAAGTCTCGTCTGGACTTCTTTACACCTGAAAATAATTAACAATATGCTGCCCTTACTCCAGTCTCCTGAGTTCTCCTTGCACTAATCTCGTTTCAGTAATCTGATCGCATCACATGTTCTTCATTGTTCTTTCTTGCCCTGGATGGAGCCACTTTTTTGAGGTATCTTTTCTGTTGATCCAAGGCAGCATAATGTGGCGAAAGAGCATAGACTTTTGAGTCAGGTAGTTGAGGTACGATCCTGCCCATACCAGTTGGATATGTGAAACATGGAGTGAATTACTTCATCTCAATGAACTCTCGTTTCTCTTCTTTAGTAATACTCTTCTAGGGATAAAATAAAATAACTTAGGCAAATGCTGAACACATTTCTTGAGACATTTTTAAGTGTCAGCATGACAATATTGCACGTGAGGTCATTCTTTGATTGTGAACACAGCATCGCAAGATTACAGCTACCTTATTTATCTTCTTATGACCTCAGAATACCAAGACCATCTCTTCACTTCCAGGTTTGACACAGGCCTAGTATTTACCATTGATAAACTCCAGCCTTTCTGATTTTTTTTTTTTTTCCGTCTTTTCTGCTTTAGGAAGCTGAGTTCTCCTAAACAGGAATAGACTTGTTAAGAGTTTTTGTCTATCTTCTCCATAATTTGGTCAAGCCTACTTTCCTTAACATTTTGTATAACTTTGTGCTTTCTTCTTGAATTTTTCTCTCCCTTTTATCTGCAGCAAAGGTCAGCATGTTTTTTCTGTAAAAGTCCAGATAATAAATATTGTAGGCATGGTGGGTTGTATTGTGTGTGTTGCGGAAAATAAGCCATACATAATATCTAAATAAATGAGTGAGGATGTGTTTTGATAAAGCCTTATACCTAACAACAGGCAGCGCGAGAGATTTGGCCTGTGGGCTATAGTTTGCCAACCTTTAATCCATGCTATTAAATTCCATCCATCTTTATAATTTCCTTTTGTAGCAAACAACATTAGTATCCATGACAACTGACCTCTTTTCATTGGAATATGGATGATTCTAGCCCCTCTTTCTCTGAGGCTAGCAACCCTAGATGTTGTATTTCTTTTGAGGGGAGGTTGATAAGAAATTTCCTTACACAAATTGTTTAACAAACTTAATAATAATACAATAGACTGAGTGATCCAGAAGGCCTGCTTTCTTCTCCCTTTTCAGGACCAATGTGCTGAGTATCGAGAGCAAATGAAAAATGGAAAACTCACCTGTACTCGGGAGAGTGATCCTGTACGGGATGCTGACGGCAAATCGTACAACAATAAATGTACCATGTGTAAAGAAATCTTGTAAGTACTTCTCTCACAGATGTATCTAAAAGATAGTCACATATTCCTCCTGAATTAATGGCTATTTCTCATTTTCTATTGCTCCCTCCATGAAAATTATTCTTTTTGTTAGTTCCCAAACATTGTCATTTTCTATTGCAACCCCTAAGGAACAATAGATACTAGCAAGGGTAGCTAATAAAGTGGCTGATTCCTGCCCTATTTCCTATTATAATTCTGTGCCTCAAAGTGCCATCAGATAAATAACTGTTCTTCCTTGTGCCTGAATCCTCGGAAGACTTTATGATGGTCATTTGGAATAGTTGGCGAGCACAGTTTAAGAGAGCTGGTTTCTTGTCATATGCATGGGACACACTTTTTGCATAATCCAGGTTCTGTTTCTTCTATTTATTTTCTCCGGGTGAATGATATTAAGTCGGAGTGCTTTATGATCCAGCTCAGCCATTTCTGATGTGTGTTATTGGGGCAACATAACTACTGTTAATCCCATCTATAAAATGAGGTCATTCTAGATGACCTTGAAGGATACCTGTAGTTCTAAAACTTATTACAATGCTCTTAATTATGGCATTCAATTGATACGTATTTCACAAATATTTATAATGCTCCTTCTTCTCACAACACACACGCATTCTTCACCTTTCTCACCGGAAAAAAAAAAATGACAATCTTGTAGTAGTACAGGCCATGTGAGGTTATATAATCCAAATGCAGGATTTTACCAATGAGAAAAACTGAAGTTGGTTTACTCAGGTTTCCTCAAAGTCTCATGGAAAGTGAGCTATAGAGATAAAACTAGACTCTAGTTCTGAATATTAGCCTAGTATTAATATTTATTTATTCTACATCATAAAAATTCTTCAGTAGATGCAGGATGGCGGAGTGGGGTAGTGCTAGGGTTTTAGCATCAGATGGCTCTTTCAGGTCCATGTTCTTGGACAGGTTATTTAACTCTCTTAGGCTCCAATCTGCTCATATTTACAGTGAAGCATTGCTTAATGATGGAGATACATTCTGAGAGATGAGTTGTTAGGTGATTTCATCATTGTGTGGACATCACAGAGTGTGTTTTCACAAACCTAGATGGTATAGTCTACTACACATCTAGGCTATGTGGTATAGCCTATTGCTCCTAGGCTACAAACCCATACAACATGTAACTATACTGAATACTGTAGGCAACTGTAACACAATGGGAAGTATTTGTGTATCTAAACATATCCAAATGTAAATAAGATACTATAAAAATACGATATTACAATCTTATGAGACTATCATCAGCATTACAATTTTATGAGACCATTAGGTATGAAATGTCTGATTTCCTTAAGTGCTAAGTTTGACAGTTGATATCTCTGACATTTCACTTTGACACTTCTTGTTTTATTTTTATTGTGAAGGTACACCCTCAGACTTTCAAACACACATTTTGGCTTTTGATTATCTTTCAAATTTCTTTAGAGCAATTTCTGTGAAACCATGGATAAGTCAAAAATTCATGTTATTTTCGAATATGAGTTCTGTCGTGGAACCAATGCAGCACAGACAACTTGAAATATCAACATAGTGTTTGGGAAGGATGTGGCTAATGAACACACAGTATGTCAATGGTTTGATAAGTTCTGTTCTGGTGATTTTAATCTTGAAAATGAACCATGTGGACAACAACCTGACACCCAGGTGGATAATGATGAGCTGAAAGCTGTAGTGGAAGCGAATCCATCTCAACTTACGTGTAAATTAGCATCAAGGTTTGAGGTTACTGTTTCAACAATATTGGACCATTTGAAACAAATTGGCAAGGTAAAGAAGCTGGAGAGATGAGTTCCACATGAATTAAATGAGCATCAGAAGAGAAATCATCTCGAAGCTTGTCTTTCTTTGCTGTCATGACATAAAGGCAAACCATTTCTACACTGCATTGTTATGTGTGATGAAAATGGATTCTTTTTGATAATCACAACTGTTCAGTACAATGTTTGGATAAAGATGAAGTGCTGAAACACAGTCCAAAACTGAATATTTCTCAAAAGAAAGCTCATGGTGTGTGTTTGGTGGTCCAGCGCTGGTATTATCCACCATAGCTTCATGAAACCTGGTCAATCGATTACAGTGGATGTCTACCGCAACCAGTTGGATGAAATGATAAAGATGTTTGTGATTAAGTGGCCGAGATTGGTCAATAGAGACAGGCCAATTCTCTTGCAAGACAAAGCTTGACCACATGTCACACAAACAACGCTGCTCAAACTACAGAGGCTGGACTTGCAAACTCTCCATCATCCACCATATTCACTAGACTTTGCACGAACTGACTACCACTTCTTTTGGCTTTGGACCCCTTCTTGCAGGGAAAAATATTCAATTCTCAACAAGCTGTGAACAGTGCCTTTCTCAGTTTCATTGCCACTGGCTCTCTGGGCTTCTCTGCTAACATGAACAAGCTACCATTAAGATGGCAAAACTGTGTAGCCAGTTTAGGCACATGCTTTGATTAATTTTACTGCTTCTTGTTTGCAATATAATGAACTAAACCTTTGATTCAAGATCGGACATTTCGGCCGGGTGCGGTGGCTCACGCCTGTAATCCTAGCTCTCTGGGAGGCCGAGGCGGGCGGATTGTTTGAGCTCAGGAGTTCGAAACCAGCCTGAGCAAGAGTGAGACCCCGTTTCTACTAAAATTAGAAAGAAATTAACTGGACAACTAAAAATATGTAGAAAAAATTAGCCGGGCATGGTGGTGCATGCCTGTAGTCCCAGCTACTCGGGAGGCTGAGGCAGAAGGATTGCTTGAGCCCAGGAGTTTGAGGTTGCTGTGAGCTAGGATGATGCCACAACACTCTAGCCCGGGCAACACAGTGAGACTCTGTCTCAAAAAAAAAAAAAAAAAAAAAAATCGGACATTTCGTATTTAATGACCTTTAACATGTGCGGTTGTCGTTGACTGAAATGTCATTATGTGGCACATAACTATACTGGAGGGAGGAACAACAATAATCCTAGGAGCCATGTAGTGTTTCTTTTTAGAGTTAAATGAGGTGAACCATGTAAAACTCTTAACATAATGGCTGGCACAAAGTAGACACACAATAAATGTGAGTTGTCACTAGTAAGTAGTGTTGCCATTAGTGTTCAGTAAATATTGGATATCACTATTTACAGTAATAAATAGTGACTAATTTTATGGTCTCTTATCCTATACCATGTTACCTCTTTGTACAACCAATACTTTGCAGATATGATGAACATAATTGAGATAGCTCTTCACTTATGACTTTCTTTCTTCATCACACATTAATAGTAGAGAATTTTCTAAAAGAATAAATGATGTTTCTTAAATGCAGAAAATTACTAAGATAAAAATCGACTATTATAAAATACTTACCTGAAGTAGTTAACAACAAAAAAAAATGGATTTTTTTTTTTTGGTAATGATGGCGACCATTCATCCTACAATAAATGGTTTTCAACTGCCTAGTACATGACAGGCACTTTTCATGGACAGGTGCTTTTCAAGTGAACAAGACAATTTCCTGTAAAGAAGGTGGTTAAGGATACACAAACTCTCAGGGTCCTTCCAACCCTGAGTCTGCTGTTTAACAAGATGACTTCTGACTCTTCTCATCTAGGCGAAGAGAATCAGAGAAACAAAATGAGCATTCTGGCTTCAGATCAAATGGCACTGGATCAGCAACAGGAAAGGTGAGTCATTAACTATGCTTTCTCAAAAATGGTCTTTCTATAAGTCAACACTTGGCCATCAAAAATATGGGAAGAGGATATCAGTGTGGTCAACTGAGATCTTGCCCTTAGAAGGCCAGGAGCCGTCATTAATGTGAGTATCACTGGTAACTTGTTCAGTGTAGAAATCTAACGTCAAATGGAAATCTTTCAGTCTAACACTTTACAAAGCACTTTTATAAATAGTAGTTTATTTAATTTTTCTCAACAGCCTGGACAAATACGGCTTTTTAATCTTATTTTATAGATAAGGAAAATGAGGTTCTACAAATATATTAATTTGTTATTGCTACTGTAACAAATTATTGCAAACAGTGGCTTACCACAAAACAAATTTATTATCTTACATTTCTGGAGTTCAGAAGTTCTAAATGGGTCTTACTGTGCTAAAACCAAGGTGTCGGTAAGGCTGTGGGTTTTTGTTGTTTTTTGTGAAGGCTCTAGGGGAGAATCCATCTCTTTCCTTTTTCTAACTTCTAGAGGCTACCTGCATTCCTTGGCTGGGGCCACCTTCAAAGCCAGCAATGGCCAGTCAAGTCTTCCTCAAGCTGTGTCATTCTGACATTGACTCTCCTGCCTCCTTCTTTCCTGGATGAGAACCTTTGTGACTACATTGGGCCCATTCGGATAACCCAGGATAACCTCATCTCAAACTCAGCTGATTAGCAACTTTAATTCCCTATTCAACCATAATTCCTCCTTGCCATGTACAGCAACATATTCATAGGTTCCAGGAATGAAAACATGGACGTCTTGGTGGGCCATTGTGCTGCCTATTCCAGCAAGCTTAAGTGGCTGCCTTACTTTTGGATTAGAATCTTCTGATTCTCAAACGCAGTTAAATACTATGTGAAAACAGCATTTCCAGTGTAACCTTTTCATCTTTTCAGGATATATGTGATGAGTATAGAAGCCACATGAAAAATGGAAAGCTTATCTGTACTCGAGAAAGTGACCCTGTCCGGGGTCCAGATGGCAAGATGCATGGCAATAAGTGTGCTATGTGTAAGGAGAGACTGTGAGTATTTTTCAAAAATGAGTTTTCACCGTGAGTCTTAAAGTATAACAGTCATTTCTTATCAGTTTGAAAAAGTGACAATTGCTTAAAAAGCAGATCTAATAATTAATGAGGTTCTTGTTTACTTTGGTTAAAATGTTTCTTTCCATCTTTTCTTCCAGGGAAAGGGAAGCAGCTGAAAAAAAAAAGAAAGAGGATGAAGCGGGGGCAAATACAAGGGACAAGAACAATGACAAGCAGGTAATGTATGTTAGACGTACTAATACCTAAACTCGGCTGGTTCATTGTGTGGTTAATTCATTCAAGAAATATTTGTGGAACACTGACTGTCCCAATTATTGGGGATATAAAGGTAAATGAGAAAGTCATGGCCAGATCTTGCAAAGACAGAATGTGATATTCAGTGCCCTAAGAGCAACTTTGATGCAATTATCACACATATGTAGGACCAGCGAAAATTGTCAAATTATTGTGGTTACCCCGTTAATTTCATTTTTGAAGTTTTAAAACAAACAGTCAAGCAATCGAAAATTACAAACAAGAAAGTGAGTATCAAAAATTTGGAGTTCTAGATAATGTTAACTTAAGCCCATTATCCAAAGTGAGGCACCACAAGAGCAGAA